GTGTATGTGCGTGTGCGCGTGGCTTTTTTTGTGACGTGCGTAGCCAACGCGTGTACGTGGGATTTGGTCCTCATATATAATTAATGTACAGAATTGTGGGATGCTGTTGGCACGAATGACACTGCTATATAAAATATAAGTATTGTTATTGTATTACTATTATTATTATTTAGGGTCACTACATTGCGCGCTTTCAGATGCTGCTTCTGTGGCCGTCTGGAACGCTCTTCCTTCCGATATCAGGAAGCCACTGGGAGATGGCGCACTATGAAATCATCGAGGTTGTAAGCTCGCTTGAAATGTATGAACTGGCTCTGGACAATTCTCTCACCCTCACCGACACACACTGACCGGTGCGGTGAAGTATGGTCAAACCACCACTCGCAGTCCCCCCCCAATAACCCCCAATAACGGAGATGCCATGGGAAGGCTTTCATCCAGCAGTGGACAAACAAAGGCTTGTGAATTACCATTACTTATCAGTAATAATAATAATGATAAGGATCTATGTTCAACCAGGTGGAAGTACTGTAATGAGATTTTTGACCAATTAAATTAACTAGCAACAAGGATCTAGGATCGCGATTGAAGAGTATCTGGATTAGATCTAGAATGTCTTTCTCACCGCTTTTCGCGTTCAGTTTTTCGTCCTTCCCCCGCACGTCCACGATTAGCACGGTTGGCTACGCACGGCGCAAAAGGAGTTCAGCGTCCGTGCGATACCCTGGACACATCTCTGCAAGTCCGATTTCTGTCAGGCTCACAAATACTTCAGCCGTGTTGTGATCAACGTACGGCGGCCGTGAGCGTGGAGTTGCGCATCCATAGCTCCCATCAGCGATGCTGAATGTGTTTTTTTTTTGTTTACCAGCCAGTTAATTTCAGCATCTGCCCAGATCAGCTAATTATGGGGCAAAACGAGCTGCTGTCTTCCCAACGTGCCACGCAACATCCAATTATTTAGTTGATACCCCCCCACCCTCACCTCCATCCCAATCTGGCATTTTTTAATTCATCCCTCCCGCTAAAGCTCACCGCCATCGCCGCAATTCTCTCGACATCCTCAACTGAAAAAGCGGACGGCATCAATCGACGTGGCCCAAGTCCTCACGCGGGGCGAGCGCGATTTTGCACGGCGCAGCGACAGCGACGGTGACAACGGCGATAACAACGGGACTAGACAAATGAATCGCAGCATTTGTTTTGCGCCTTTCGCCCGAAGCGCCACGCTGACAGTGGCACATTGCGGACGCTCACAACAGCGACGCTCGAAGCTCGCGCCGGATTTACCTACAAGACTGCCGGCGCGCAACAAAACCGTCCCAAGTCATGTACAGCATCTATTATTTACCCTCTGCTGACAGGACCCCGTGGCTTTATTCAACACAGACCGTCACCGTCACCGCGCCGCCGACCCCCCCAGAGGTCGCAAACGGGTTTGATTCCTTACCCGTACCCGGCCGCACCATGGGTCGCAAACGGGTACCAGTACCCGTACCCGGCTGGGTACGGGTAGCCGGGTATCGGGTAGGTACGGGTATCGGGTACCCGGTTGCGACCTCTGATCCCCCCCCACCTCGGGGGGGGCCGCCGCCTTGTCCAAAACGCGTCAACGCGACCCTCCCCAACGCGCGAGCCTCGCGGCCGCTCGAGCGATCAGGATCGGGTCGTCTGCTGTCCGGGGGTTTGTCACACGTGGGCGCTTCCGGCACCGTCGCACGCCCGCAGGTCAAACCGGTGGCTCTGCACCGCCGCAGGTCAACCCGGTGGCTCTGCCACCGCCGGCAGGTCAACGGTGCTCTGCACCGCCCAAAGGTCAACCGGTGGCTCTGCACCGCCCAAAGGTCAACCGGTGGCTCTGCACCGCCCAAAGGTCAACCGGTGGCTCTGCACCGCCCAAAGGTCAACCGTGGCTCTGCACCGCCCCCAAAGGCAACCGGTGGCTCTTCAAACCACGCCGGCGCCCGGAGCGCGCATGTTGCGCCGCCGTGTCCCTCATCTCGACCCTCGTCCGAATCATCCCCCAACTGTGTAAGTGCTGCCCAATTATTTAGTCGTACCCCTCCCCCACCCCCACCCTCGCCTCCATCCCAATCCGGCGTTTTCAATTCGTCCCTCCCGCTAAAGCTCACCCGCCATCGCCGGCAATTCTCTCGACTTCCTCGACTGAGAAAGCGGACGGCATCAATTGACGTGGCCCAAGTCCTCACGCGTGGCGAGCGCAAATCACGCGGCGCCAGTGGACGGCGACAACGCCATAACAACGTGAACAGACAAATGAATCGCACATCCGACCCTGGAGAGAGGGATGTTCGCAGTGGATGGGCCGCATCGTACTCTGGCGAGCGGTATTTGAACCGGGTCCCCTGGTTCTCTCCCCCACAAAACCCCCCCGACACCTTCAAACAATCGCCACGATGACCCGGCTTGTCGGGGCGGCCTTCACGTCAGCAGCGGATCGACAAAACGGGGGGCTGCGAGTTATTATTAGTCGTTGTACGCCCCGGCCACTGCAATCACGTGGTTCGCATTGACAGAGACGGAATGCCAACTGATATGTCTGTTCCCCCAGCGCCTATTTATACCCCGTATCGTTGCACCGACGCAATTATCTCTGACGAAAGCGGCATGCAGATTGCAATGTTGTTTGTAGATATTTCACGTCGGAGAAATGTCACCGCCGATGCCGCCCCCCCCCCCCCCATCGCCGCCCCGCCCCGCCAGGCTGCTAATGCGGCAGAACTCATTCCTGTCGGCCTTCCTCTTGTTCCCGAACCCTTCTCATTCGTAGGGTTGTCGAGCGAGGGTCCACAAATTCCCGACGCCGTTTAGATTCGCGGACGCCTCGGAGGGTCCACGGGCGGGAGCTGCCGTCGCGTTGTGCCGGAGGTCGCCAGGTGCAATTCCACGTTCCGGCACGGAAGTCGCGCGGCGGTGGGGTGAAGCGTGGGTAACGCTCGCCTCCGCTGGAGCATCCGGCCAGCGTCGCAGAGCGCACCAGATTCCCTCAAGGTCGCTCCAGTGGAGGCCCCACGATGACAAGGGCGAGCAATTTGCAGGGGCTGCAAACCGACCTTTGTGTCGTGCGCATCGGAGGCGGTGGCCCAGTGGTCGGGGCGCTGTGCCATGAACCTGGCCCAGAGGTTGCAAACGGGTTTTGATTCCCTACCCGTACCCCGGCCGCACCAGAGTCACAAACGGCTACCCGTACCCGTACCCGGCCGGGTACGGGTACCCGTTCCCTAACCATACCCGTACCCGGCCGGGTACAAGTAGCCGGGTATCGGGTAGGGTACGGGTATCGGGTACCCGGTTGCGACCTCTGACCTGGCCACCACAGTTCGATGCCCGGCCACGGCTAACATCAGCGGCAAACGATATCCGAATCAGTAGAGGCCCACCCCCACTTCGCCAACCCGCAACGTCCAGCGTGGCGACGAATGTGCAAACAACAACCCGTGAACGATGTCGAATTCCAGCAGTGGATTGTACAAAAGTCTGAGAATTATTAACGATTCACAATTTTTTTTTTTTTTACCAGGTAAGGCCCACCTGAGCTGTTATAGCTCTTTTTCAGAAGCGAACCGGCCACAAGTGATAGCTCACCGAAGTGGCTATCGTGTGGAAATCATAGAAGCCAAATGCTCCAAACACCTGTTTCTAAATTTGGTGGCGAGATGTTAAGGTAGGTTCCCTCTCGACCCTGAGCTCTGTATATTGGAGTTGGCATGATCTCACTGCGGTAGCGTGGATTTTTTCTCCGGGTCACGTAGAAGTGAAATAATTAAATAATAAAAAATTACATAATAGAATAAAATTCTCACGACGTTTCGGCCACAACGCAAGCAGCCGTCCTCAGGTGAAGAAACAGAGCTGTCGGGAAGACAGCGTCTTAATGAACACCGCCAAGCTTGGCAGCGCACTTGAAGCTGGGTGGAGGAGGAGAGAGCCTTGACAAAGGAGTTTACATATCAACGTCGTGAGAATTAAATGTTCATCATCAGGTTTGAAATCCACAGCAAGAAAATGTTTTGCTTGTGTTGCAGTCGAAACGTCGTGAAAATTTTTATTGTTTTACATTTGTATTATTTATTATTTCCCTTCTACGTGACTTTACCGAAAGAACCAAGAATATGAATCCCTGCAGTCACGAAAGCTTTAAATCGAAATAGTAGTAATAGTTGTGCTGTAAGCCATGACGAAGCTGCCGGAACAGCGTGGCAGTGCGAGACTTAAAACTATAACTGTGGGCCCCAGACTCTCCTGGAACTATCTCCCACGAGGTGTCAGGATCTCAGAGTCTGTGGCAATATTTCTAAAGCTCGTCATCATCTTACACTTTGTACTACTTTAGAAGAGTAAGCGGCTTTAACCGTTTGTTAGTTTTTTAGTTTCACGAGTTCTCGTCACGCCGATGATTGTCGCTGTGTTTTGTACGGCACTTTGAGATCCTTGACGAAATCTGCTTTATAAATATAATTATTATTTTTCGATTTAAAGCTTTCGTGACTGCAGGGATTCATCTTCTTGGTTCTTTGACAGACCTGCTCTCCACCTGAGGACGGCTGCTTGCGTTGTGGCCGAAACGTCGTGAGAATTATTATTATGTTTTATTTTTATTATTTTATTATTTCCATTCTACGTGACTTTACCGAAAGAACCAAGAAGAAGAATTATTATTATTATTAATGTGCACCCGCTCGACAACGTGGTTAGAAATTGTGTTTATAAAGCCAATTACAGTCATACCTCGGTATACGAGCGCTTTGGAATACGTAGAATTTGGTATACGTCGTGTTTTGACGGGAAAAAAATGTCTTGGGATACGACGTCTTGCTTGGGATACGACGCGCTTGCTAGAACTTGTGTGGGTGGGGATGAGTCGCCGCGTGCCCGCGTAGACCCCGTTCACGACTGAAAAAAAGCGCCGCTCCTCAGTCTGCCTGTAGAGTAGATCTCGTTCAGTGCACAAGCCTTGCTGGACAGGTTTTTAGTAAAACTCAAACCTGGTGAGCCTGAATCAGGTCCAAGTCAAGAAAAAAAGACAGAAAAGAGAAAGAGAAAAAAAACCCTAGAATTTCAGCTTCGTGAAGTTTTAATGGAAGGGGAGTCTCCTTCCAAGAAATAGCATCTCCTCCCCCTCCCCTTCCACCACCATCCTCGTAGGCTATCAACTCCTCTCAGCAAGGTAAAGGGACGTTCAATTTTATTTTTATCTCAATATTTTTATTTATGTATGCATTATTTTAATTTATGTATGCATTTTAGTCATAAGTAGTGTCTAAATTATTTATACAGCCCCATTAATGTATATATGCCGTATAAAATATAATTTCTAATACTCTGGAACGGATTCTTTCCTTTCCCTTTATTTATTACGGGAAAAATTCGTTTGGTGTTCGTCATTTTCGGTACAAGTCCTACCTCCTGGAACGAATTAACGACGTACACCGAGGTACCACTGTACCCGCTTCATCTGTGATCCTCCACCAACTACTGCTAAACGTGTAAGTTTAACGCGTACGTTGACGCGTAGGTTTGACTCGTGCGTTAGATGCGTGCGTTCGACGGTATGTTCAACGCGTTCGTTGGACGTGTAAGTCCGACGCGCGTGTTGACGCGTACGTTCGACACGTGCGTTCACGCGTGCGTTCATGCGTGCGCTCGACGCGTACGTGGGACGCGTGCGTTCCCACGGCCGCGTGGTGTTCCGGCTCGAGCTGCGTGTCCACGTTCCTTCTCCCGAAGCTTTCGCCGGGCACCGAGCGGCGGGGGACACGTTCACCGACGTCAGCCC